ATTTTAGTGAATGTAGTAGGTGTAACTGAATAAGCATATGATGTGTAGTAGATAGAAGTGTAATTCGTGCCGTAAAGTGGTATGGGATGATCATCTTGTGTTGATGTGCATATATTGAAAGGTATTAACTAATCATAAAAATCGCATTTAAACTAAAAAATATTCTGCGGGTGCCAAACCCTTTTATCAAACAATGGTGGTATAATCTTGGCAACAGTTTTGAAGTGTATCCTACATCATACGTTGTAATCTTTATTCTATTTTTAACTTTATTTATCTTTTTGCGCGTACAAGCGCTGAAGACTGAGAAGTGGAGGTAACTAAACCGAAATATATTTTCAATGAAAATTTAGCGATAAACCTGAAAATTATCTTTTCTTCAATTTCAAGCTGAGAAGTTATGGAAATAACTGGAGGATTTTGATAATGGATCTACAACACTTATTGTTCATTTCTTGGATTGCTTGTCCTGTGCTGAACAATTTGGCAGCAATTATGAAAAAAGTATAAAATTTGAGTTAAACTCGTGTTATTGATATGTTACTCATTTTCCGATCTTTCACTCGCCAGCCGTCATAAAGCCTCCGCTCGTCTTTTCTTGTATTCAAGCTTTCCGCTAACTTGTGCAAGGGATTTTTTGCTTAAATTCAAGGCTTTACGTTTGGGAGAAGCATTTTCTATAACATAGTTATACAAAATACAAATGTTTTCTTTCGTGGACGTTAAGTTTGAAGACAAAAGAAATGACTCCGTCATATCTAGTAGGCAGCTTTCAAGCTGACTCCATCCCTTTTCAATATTTTCAGCAATGTTTTCTCTTAAATATTCAGTTCCTCGACGCCTTTTAATTGAAGGTGGGGTCGAGAGCTCGGATTTTCTCTTTCCTTGCTGGCCTTTCTCTTTCGCTGGGGTCGAGACTGTGTTTATCCCAAAGCTGTTCTGGCAATTATAGCACTTGCAACCTTTGCATCCTAAACCAGCTGCAAAACAGGGGCATTTGGTTCTTCTTTTCCCATTGAAATCTCTACAGGCAACTTTTTCCGCATCCTTCCCTTTGTCGCCTTCGCTGCAACTACACGACCTCGTCTTATTTTCTGCGACCTTTCTTTCAACATTTCCACAATAGCGACACCTGCATAGATTGCGGTTACAGAATCGACCTCTCTTTAAACAAGGACAGTGAGACTTTCCCTCTTTGCTGGTACATGCGAACTTGTTCCTTGACTTGATTCTATTGCCACAACAGCATCCTTTATTGTCTCCTTCGTTGGCATTCAGAGCACTTGAGGGCACGTCAGATTCAACTACCTCCTCGTCGCCGATGCAGTGGAAAACAATACATATGAAAATAAATAACTAAGAGTTAATTATGAGTTTTAGCATGTTTTACTTTCGTTTTTTGTCGTTTGAAATGCATTGTTTTCGCTGCCCTTCAAACGTAGGTTCGAAAAAAGGTTTGTTAAGGTATCAGTGACTGTATATTTCTGGTCACCCAGCCATTATCCATTAAAGTTTAAAACAATTATTGAAATAAATTCAATATATGAAATAAATAAACAAAGAGACAAACTCTTTTTTAATGTTTTTAACATTACTTTCTCGATGTAGTTGCTTATGTTAGCTTATGTTTACCCAATAGTTTCGAGGCATCGTAATAACAAGCTCCGTAATAATGATAGCCCAGGAGAATGGGTTTGCTGGAAAGTGGGTTGCTGGGAAGGAAAGGAAGACACGACACAGAATCGAGAGAAGTGATCACCATGATAGGTACTCGCAGAAACTGTGCACGTACTCTCATCACAAGGTCTCCAATAGCTGTATCAAACTTTCCTTGTCTCCTGAATTCCGGCCCCCTTTCAACAAATGCCTCTCAATCTTCATTTGGAAAGAAAGCTAGAAGTTCCTCGTCAAATTTCATTATTTCTTCCACAAACAACTGACGCATGGTAATTCTTCATCTTCAGATTTACAAAGACGAACGGACTTCAGATGATTTAATATCTCGGGCTCTTCTGGGTTACAGATAGGACGTACCATTCGAGCTACGCTTCGAAAAGCGCAGTCTCCATCTCTTGCCACTTTATCATCTTTTAGATTAAATCCTGCAACATTTCTGGATAGGGAACGATCGTGTTCTGCGGTAGTTGGGTCACTCTCATCTCCCTCATTCTCAATATCTTGTTCATGGTACATGGTAAGACTGGCCGGTATATACGTTAGCAGCGTCAGGTCGGAAACACTGAGTGACTTGTTGCAGTTACATCTCGAGAACGTCGTTAGAATTTCGTCATTACCAATAGCAGCTTTAAGAATACTTTCCGAAACCACTTTTGAGCAAACGTCATTAATAGTTTCTGGAACAACAATGCTCTCGTCGTTTAATTCTGTTGATTCTTGGTTGTTGATGTCAAATATGGTTTCTATGGCTGTGTATAGCTGTGTATAGCTGTGTATAGCTGTGTATAGCCGTATATATGTTCGCTCCGACGAAGGACTAACGCTCGAAACGTCAGCTTTTGTAATCCTTACGGTGGCCAATTTACCATTTAAACTTTGTTGATATATCCAAATTATAACTGCGTACAACTTTGTAAAGCTGTGTTTATTAAAAACTGGATCATTGGATAATGCAATTCATTGGCTTAGCCATTATGGTATATGAGCCAATATACCATAATCTACAAATATGGTAAGCATACACGTCAGCTTAAAATTAAAAGGGAGCTAAAAAATTTAAGATTTGTCTAATATCTTGGAGGCGTTTTTAATAAAACAATTATTCCAC